CCAGAGCACAGTGAGTGATGTAGGTCACATGGCAGTAAGAGGCTCTTAATAGCTAGGCTTCAGTGACACCTCAGCAACAACAGGGTAGTTGTGCGTCCTGGGATTCCAGCTAGGGCTGATATATCGTGAAGAGCACTGGCAGGTATAAGCAGGCAGGTGAACACAAGGTGAGCCATGTTTCAATAGCCAGAGCCAGGTGATCTCAAGTATCATAGAAAGGGTTCAATCTGGGAGCAGAGAACAGAGTTGGAGGTTCAAAGCTACTTACAGTCCAAGTCAATGAAAGCAGTAAATGATGGGGAATCTGAAACAAGGTAAGGCAACAAGATGGATAGTTCATGGTGGTAATCAGAAGATTAGGGACTGTAGTGGAAAGTCCAGGAAAGGAGGTAGTGCATGACAGATACCCAGTGGTTGCCGTGCTGAAATTTGGAGGGAGGGGTTTCAATTGATGGGAGAGGCACTGGCAGATCTGGATGGGGCCACAGCTCTAGGACCATATTGGGTAATGGGGCTCAGGGATAAGGACAGGTCTAGTTACCAACCCTGGTGCACTGTGTCCAGATCAGATGAAAAGAAAGGGGAGCTTAATGTCACAGGAAAGATATGTCTCATACACCTGTGATCTCTCACCTGGGAAGCTGCTATAAACACACATAGCACCACAAGCTGTGTGACATGTTTTCTTCTTTCTATTAGTCCCTCAAAACCCATAGTGTGTAAATGATCTTTTATACCTAAAAGAGAGTGAATTAAAGGTTAACCCTAACAGAATGTCACTTTCACACTCTGACTTGCTTTTTTTTTTTAATGTTTATTTATTTTTGAGAGAGACAGAGACAACGTGCTAGTGGGGGAGGGGGTAGAGAGAGAGGGAGACACAGAATCCGAAGCAGGCTCCGGGCTCTGAGCCGTCAGCACAGAGTCCAGCACAGGGCCTGAACTCATAAACCATGAGATCATGACCTGAGCCGAAGTCGGTCGCTCAACTGACTGAGCCACTCAGGCACCCCTGACTTGCTTTCTTGAACAAGAGACTAGGATACAGATGCAGCTGGCATGTTTGCATAACCACAGGGATGCTATGTGAATGTGCCACGCATGCTGATACCAGTCTATATATCACAATAAAGAAGAGGCAGAAAATTGACCACAGAGGCAATGGGGAGTTGGTCTGGGAAGTAGGGCAGAGAGTGGGTCAGAGAACAACTGTGTTTTACTGTAAGCACTTCTATAAGTTTCAGTTTTATTGTTTTGTTATGTATGTGTGTATGTCTGTGTATTATAAACTTGAAAAAAATGTATTAAATTTGACTATCAGGCAATCAGTCCTGTACTAAATTAAAAGGTAGAAGGGAGCACAGAGACCGTCTGCTAACATATTGTTGCAGGCAGGAAATCTAGGCATTCTAACTGGCAGATATAAGAATTTTTAAAAGAGCAAGAATAGTAGCCAGGGACCATTTAATGTAGGCATAAAGAGGTTCGTATAGCACTTGGAAATCATTATAACACAGCGAGTATTACACATTATGGGGCCGGTGGTGGTAGTGCAGAGATCTCCAGGAAAGATCCAAGTATCCCCATCACTCTGTTTAAGGAGGCAGGGAGCTACGTAATGTATTTTAGCAAGGCTTTTATCAAAAGGAGCTAAACTCACAAGACAAAGAAGATGATGTTCTTACGTGACTTTCCTACATAGCACGTAAAATTTTTAGATATTTCTAATTAAACCTGCCAAACTGCATGCTCTCTGAGGACAGGAGCCACATCTGTTTTGTTCACCACAGCTGCCCTAGGAGGAAAGGAGGAACTTATACAGAAGTTCCCTTTCCTCAAGCCATTGGAGATGTTTAGTCTGCTCAAGCCCAAGAAAGACTGCAGGCCTTGCCCCAGGAGCAGACCTTGGCCTTCCATGAAATGGGAGGAGGGAGGAAGCGTTATTCTTGCTAGTAAAACAGCATTTCTCAGGCCTCTGAGATGCTCCTCACTGAGTCCCACATAAAACTGAAGAACTTAATCCGCAGCCATCATTCCTCGGCTCCATCTGGCTGCTGGAATAATTGAAACTAGAAACGTCTGCTTTGATTGCTGCTAGAAAGGAAAACTTAAGTTTTCATGGAAAACCTCAGTACTGCCTCAAACAAGAAACCTTATTGGGTTTCTGGTGAAATTTGATTTCTGTCCTCTAGAGTTTTCTAGACAGGAGGAAAAATAAGCCCTAAATAGAATGCAGCAGTAGGGACTTTCGGACCCTCAGTTCAATTCATAGCCCAGATAGGTGCCGGTAGCCCATTGAGGAGGGAGACAGGGAGAAGGGAGACCCAGGCTCACCCATAAGTAAAGCCTCCTAGGGGCCCCCAGGATCAGCCACAGAGCTCAGAGTCATCAGTGCCTTGAAGGTGGCCCAGGCTGATAAGGCAGGGGGTCAGGTGTCTCCACACCTGTGCCTCACTGTTCACACAGTTTGGACCCAGGCCATCTGTACCACAGCGTCACTGCCTGGACCTACCTTGGAAGATAGGGCCTTAACTCGCCCTCCACTCTTTCTCCCCTACTCCTTCCTCATTTCCTCCCTGTCTCTCACCTCTCCTAGCCTTTCACCCCCCTTGCTTCTTCTCCTGTTCCTCTCCTCCCTGACCTCCCTCTCTGTGCACTGGCTTCTCCCTCCCTTCTCTCTTTGGGAAGCCAAAGACTTATCCAGCAGGCCACAGGGTGACTCTCCCTCTCAGTCTCTCTTCCTCATCCCTCCTTCTCTCTCCACCCTGACCTCTTTCCCTCCCTCCTTCCTTTCTCATTCCTTCTCTCCCTCTGACTTCAAATAGATAAAATAGATCTTTCTACTCTAAGAAAATCAAAGGTTAGTCCCTACTAGAGGCTTTTCTCAGTTCCCACATACAATAAATAGCCACCCATTTTCTCCCCTGGATTAGAACGAAGAGGCCACTCATGCCCAGAAGCCAGTGATTTTTGAGGCATCTGAAAGATTTTAAACAAGATGTCTCTGCACTGCCTTCCTTTCACACGACAGCACATCTGCCAGCTGGTGGCTCCTCACCTTGCTTTCCCCTCCTCCACCCAGAGAACAGAATGTCAAGGGGGCTAAGGAAGTATTTGTAGGGGCAAGAGTTGAAGGAAGATCCCAAAGCTCTAGGAATTGAGGCCTTCACAGGACAGTTGCTCGTGGAGCTTGAGCCAGACGACTGAAGCCCTGAGCTGCTCCTTCTAGCCCCCTAGTCCTCCCAGCCTGCCCCCCCGACCGGCAGTGGCCGACTCTAGAGCAGAGGAAGTTCAAGCTCCAGGACCCTTCCGAGGCCCTAGGAAGAAACCCAGCATTGTGTTCCCATGGTCCTATGATTTTGCAAAAGGTTTGCAACAGGAATATATGTTAACCACTGTGGATTGATGACTCTTTCCACTACTGCTTCCCCTCAGGCATACTTCTCCTCTGGTCAACTGGCCCTGTAGTGGGCATTCAGGGGATCCGACTAAGGAGAACCTGAATTGGAAATGCATTTAATTTATATTTAGTAGGATATGTTTGTGTGGCGTAGTCACTTCCGTTCATGGGCAAGTAATGGCTGGCCATCCGGGTGCAGGAATGGCTTACAAGAATAGTGCCACAAGACTGAATCAAAGATGAATATGTCCTACGGCGCCAGGCTTCAGAAGTCTGTCGGTAGTTGTAGAAAAACAAGGCTTAAAATGCATAGAGCCTGAAGCTAGTCTGTGGAAAATTCTTCCAATCATGAGATGTGTAAAATTCCAAGAGGAGGATTCTGTTCTCATTGGTGTCCCATCAAAACAGAAATCAGGAATGTATTTGGTGATGCCATATATACACTGATAAGCACACTGTACTTTGTTTATGGGAATTGCAAGAAAGGAAATTTATCAGAAATCCTGTGTTTTCAGGGCATTATTGTGTAGCAGCACTGCACACAGCTAGCATGTCTGTAAGCAGGCATGCTTTAGTGCCTCCCAATTATCAATAATTTTGATCAGTCTTGCTAGAGAAAAGTCTATTCTCTCTCATACAAAATCATTGCCATATAAGGAAAGTATCAAAGTATACAGGCAAAACTTACAGAGGAAAAAGTCATTTTAAAAGTGTGTTAGACAGTTAACTAATTTGAATATTAATTATTTTATGGATTTTGAAATGTCTGTTCCATTTGCCAGATTTTTAAATCATGAAATGTTTTGTAATTTATTTTTTCTTTCTCAAGTCATTTCCATACCTAATTTTATAGTCACATTTTCGTATTAATTTTCTTTTTTTTAATTTTTTTAATGTTTATCTATTTTGAGAGAGAGACAGAACATGAGCAGGGGAGGAGCAGAAAGAGAGAGGGAGACACAATCCAAAGCAGTCTCCAGGCTCTGAGCTGTCAGCACAGAGCCCATTGTGGGGCTCAAATCCACAAACCGTGAGATCATGACCTGAGACAAATTTGGACGCTCAACCGACTGAGCCACCCAGGTGCCCTGTATTAAAGACTCTGTTAAAGAGTGGGCCCCCCACCCCAAATTGTTTAAGCCTCAGGCCCCACAATCCTGGATCCTCTCTACTGGCAACCTTGGTGAGCATCTGGAGAAAGGCTTGTTCTTTTCTGTCTCCAGGAGCCTGCTGCAGCCCAGCCCCCACATTCCCAGAGCAGTTTGGTCAGTGAGTCCTGCAGGGATAGCAGGTGGCCTTTCCTCCAGGATCTCTATTTTCAGTGCTATGGACATTCTCAGGCTCCTACTGTTAGCAAGAGACAGCAGTGAAGAACAACTGTTGGTGCTCAATCTCACTAGCTGTGCTGAGACCCAGCTGTACAAGTTCTCCTTTTGACATGAATCCATTTGAGGTTCTTTTGATCCAGGGAGAGGTAGGATGGTTTTCTGCCAAACCTTTCCTCTGATCTGTATCATATTTGGTTCAGGTGATCTGCCACACAAAACTGTCTTGTCTCATCTGCAGTAAGACCCTTACCAGTTTTCTGATTTTTTAACAGAGTTGGTGTGGATCTGGATGAAGATCTGAAGGAGCCCACCTCACACCAGGCAAGTCAAAGAAGCCAATTCATAGAGTATAAAGATATGAAATACTCTGTTCCATGGAATATTCCATGCTTGTCTGGCATGTGGCCAAGGGGCTCAACCTAAAAGGGGCTGCCTCCACTGATAAAACACATCTGGTGACTATAAAATACTTGGGAATACAAGGTATCGATAACCTTTGTTATAGAACTTTAGAATGCATAGAACTAGCATGCTCTTGCACCCTCTCTATGGCAACAAGAAGCTGGAAACTGTACAGTGTAGAAGCAAGAGCATGACTCTTGGAATGAGGTAGCCTGGAGTTCAAATCCCCTGCCCAGGGACTTGCTAGTTAGGTAATTTCAGTGAAATTTATTCAGTGCATGTCTCGTACATGTTGGGCACACAACAAATGGACCTGTTTCTCCTGCATAGCTTCTCATTAATCAGATCTAGGTGTATAGAAGTATTGAAACATTGAAAATTTGCAAAAGCACAGTAAAACTGTCTAGGTGATCCATTTCTAATTTTGCCGTGCAACCATTATATGTAGAGACCTGAAAATCCTTAGGGAAATTTGTTCAAAACAATGTGCTGTTCCTTCGAGTACAGGAAGTGTATTCTGCCAACTCTGAACTGGGACCTGACATCCCAGTAGAGACTGCCATTGGAGATTTTGCATTAGCCATTTCTAATTTGGCACTTAAGACAATTGTGTAGGCATGTTATACCTTTTGTTGAAATTGTAAGCGAGCAGATAGACAATAGAATAATATAAATAAGTGATGTTGCTTAATGACTCGTGTTATGATCACACCTGGACTTAAAGAGGATCCATCTCTCTTTTATTTTGTGATTTTTTTTCTTTTCTATAATGCCATCAATGAAGCACAGCTGGTTAGTGCTGCTGGGCAAAATGTTGCTACTTTCCTGGTTTACATAGACATAAAGATGGAATGATCCCGTGCTCTATAAAAAGGGCTGGAAAACTAAGTTGGTTATGATCCTGGCTTATTGTACTTTGATTTTTTTTTTTTTTTTTTTGTAACATGTGTTTCAAGCCCAGGCTGGTGCTGTTTTCTCAGACTCCATAGTCCAGGAAACACACCTAACTGCAGGAGTGAGCACAGCAGGGGTGCCAGCACACCGGGATTGGGGCCAGCCTGGTGACCTGAGAAGGGAGATCAAAGCCCGTCTCCTTACACTGGTGGGCTGTAATGAGTAGTTAGTAAGGGGCCTTGGTGGCTGATTTTTGAAAAGCATTTTTCATCTCATATAGGTCAACTAATCCATTCTCCTACCTTTAAGCAAAACTTTTATCTAAATTCTATCTTTCTCTTCTTTTTCTTTAAAAGAAAAGAGATTAAGAAAATTCATCAAAACAAATTCATCTTTCTCTAGCTGCCTGATATTTTGAAATCGCATATAATTATTAGGAAGATTACCTGTGAATCTAACTCCTTCCTTTTACAAATTAAACGTTTTATTTTAGCTCATTCGCACCATTGTTAATTCAGTAATTAACTCCTACCTGAAGATACTTAAACCAGTAGAAAATATTTGTTCTTGTTGTTGTTGTTGTTGTTGTTGTTGTTAGAGAAATGAGATAGTGCATCTAGGTCCAGTGAAAACTACATTCTTTGGATCTCGGACAGTTTTTCTTTACCTCTTTGAGTCTCACTTTCCCTATCTGTAGAATGTGGTTGATAATAATGTCTAGTTCTCCAGACTGGTATGACAATCAAGTGAAATTATATTTATAAAAACTATATAATTTAATTAATTTAGTTAAACCCATATAAGCTTACACATCTAATAAAGTAATAGTAAAATATTTTAAGAGAATTTTAAAATTCAATAAAAAATATTGCTAAGATCAGAAAGTCAAAAACAGAGGGATAAGAATAAGCAGATCATAAGGTCCTATATACTTGCTTAATCAAACCACAAGTAAGGTTTTGTAGCCAAGGGGGAAAGGAGGAAAAAATAATCACTAATATACTAAATTAGTATCATTAGAGGGAAAAATAGTACTGTCTCCTCAAGCGGTACAAAACTTCACAGGCCACTGTTTTAAAAGAAATTTCTCACTTGGGGCTTCCTATACAGGACACATAAAGAGCTATACAAATATTAGATAACTAATCTTATTATAAATTACACGGTTCTAACTGAACTGCTGCTCCTTAAAAATAATTTTGTTTTTAAGAGGTGTCCTGAAAGTGTTCCTATTCACAATAGTATTTGACTACCAAGGTAGCTACATTTCAGAAAGAGATTTTCTCCAAACCTTGGAATAATTCTTATCTTCTATGTCAAGTAAATGAAAAAGTGGCATCAAGCTAGAAATTAAAAACAAAACAGACAAACAAAACCCACAGTGTCCATGCCACTGATACCTGTCCTGGACAGTTTTTTGGGGGACTTTCCAAACCATGTGTGAAGAACCTGTTTGCCCTCATTTTGCCTGACAGCTCTTTGCTTAATATCAGCATCCATAGAACTGAAGAGCATAAACTCTCATTCATAGGAGGATTGTATGTTTCCACTTGGTTTGCATGTATTCAGTTGGGCTTGTGTTAACAAATACGATGATTTTCACACCGGTCAACTTCTAAAAAGAGAAGAAAAGAGGAAGACTATTTTTACCAAAAGCTAAAACTTTACAGTTATGGCAATTACTCCAAATCAATAACAAACATTTGTCATTATAATTTTTAAGGAACCTCTTCTTTCTCAGTTGCTGGATTGTAAAATAACCTTTGGGAAATATGAACTTCTAGCTGTGACTAACCAGCAATATCATAATTTTCCTTTTTTGCCTTGCAACACCTTTAGAGTGTGAATGGTATTACACTTTTGCTTGTACCGGACCCAAAAGTTTTAGAAAGCATGTTCTACATGCAGGTATTAAAGTTTAAATATGTGCTGTATGCAAATGTGCTTCTTTGAGAAATGGGAGATAGCACAGCTGTGAATTTTATGTCTCTTAAATTTAAAACAAAAGCAAAAACAAAAGAACCCTGAGACTCCCACCCTCCTCCCCAACTACCATCATAGAAGGTTTTCCTTGTAATTGATTCTGTGTCCTTGAAAGCACAGCACTGCACGGAAGTTAAGAATCACTGGAGCAGCACACTCGCCTTAATATTTTAATAGAAATTCCTGCTGCCCAAGGAGGATTGTCAGTATTGTTTCTTTTTCCCTTTTTGCCATTTTTCTCATGATGATCCTAATATTTGTTGAGTACAGACTAGAGTTAACACTTCTAAGCACCTTGTCTGTATTAACTCAATTTCCAAGATAGCCCTATCCCTATGAGCATGTACTATTATTATCCCCATATTACAGATGAGGAAACTCCATACAAATAAGTTAAATAGCTTGTTCGAGGGTACATAGTGTGAACAGGTGGAATGTTAACCTAGACAGTCCGGTTCCAGAACTTCCACTCTGAAATGGTATGCATTTAGGCATTCATTCATTCATCCATACCATCCACCATGTCAAGCACTAGTCTATATGTGAAGAGGATGTAGCCAGTTACCAGTTCGAAGTTTTCACCCTCACAGAGCTTTTGTTCTAATGGATGATGCTGATGAGAAAACAGATAAATGACTACATAAGCTCAGATAATGATATGAGTACAGCAGGTAAGAGGATGGTGAACAACGGAGGAGAGGCAATTACCTCATTAGGGCAGGCCTTCCTTTTTTTAAAAAATTTTTAATGTTTATTTATTTTTGAGAGAGAGAGAGAGAGAGAGCATGAGCAGGGGAGGGGCAGAGTGAGACAGAGACAAAGAATCCGAAGTAGGCTCCAATCTCTGAGCTGTCAGCACAAAGCTCACTCACAGACCATTAGATCATGACCTGAGCAGAAGTAGTCTGGATGCCTAACCGCCTGAGCCACCCAGACACCCTAGGACAGGCCTTTCTAAGGAAATGGCATTTGGTCAGAGGTCTGAATAGTGTGGGGAAGTGAGCTGTGTAGGATCTGGAGAAAAAACAGTCCAGAGAAAGGCTACCACAAGGATGAAAGCCATAGAGTCACAATGGGTTGTGGAGTGCTCCATGAGTAGCAGGAAGGCCAGTGTGGCTGTGGATTGGTGAACAAGGTAGGAGCAGATGGATATGAACTGGGAGAGACAGAGAGCAGCCAAACCAAAGTGGCCAAGGTGATGAGTATAATTTTATTCTACTTGTGATGAAGGAAAAACTCTTAAAAGTTTGGAGCTTGGAAGTAATGGAATCAACCCTTTTTCAGAACTCATTTTTCTCCCATCTGTACTCTGCCAGCTGTTACAATGAGGTTAATTTTCATTTTTTCTAACATAATTTTTTATTTTTTAACACTATTCTTGCTTCTCTATGTGCTCTCTTAATTCTAACTGCCATTTTTTTTTCTTCCCATAGTTTCTTCATTGAAATTCTGTTTTTGGTTGTCACTTATGCTTCTGTGTAACCTGTGTGAATCAGGTCTGGTCACTGCAGCTCAAGGAAGTCAGAGCAGAGCTGAGAAAGGTCCAGAAAAGGGCAACTTCAATAACTTAGCAGAGGGAGATGAAAAGGATTACTATTTCTCCTGCAGAAAATTAGCACTAAGAAGGAATACAATAAAGTGTCTATAAAAATATGGAGTGTGACTAAGGTAAATGAAGTCTTGTTTGCTAATTCCTAGAAAACCATAACCTGGAGTACCCCTGAAATCTGAAAGAGCTCATTTGAGGAAGAATAAAAGGATTTGTTCTTCGCCAATCGATACTTACTACTCATGGTCATCTAGAGTTGCAAGGGCTGGAAATATAAGTTGGTTCAGGAGGAGAAGAGATTAATTAGCAGATGGTGGGATCATCTCATCTTTAAACAAAAATTAATTTTTCCCTGTGAATATTCTCAAATCTAATGTCCTAATTAACATATAGGAAACAGAATATTCCTATATATGAAAAATTAATTTTTCCCTGTGAATATTCTCAAATGTCCTAATAAACTTATAGAAAACAGAATAAATATTCCCATATA